ATGAGATGGACATCACTACCCTAGGTACACATATGATAAGACAAATGGTGTGACTCTACTTCGTTTACAACCAGAGAAATGAAAAACTGTGCTCCATTTGTATACTATGAATCAAAGTACATTCTGCTGTCAATGTATAACTAATTAGAATAAATAAATAAATAGAAATAAAAGTGAAGGGTAAAGGAATAATGCCTTGGAAAAAATAAGAGGAGAGAGAAAGTACTATGGGCCCCTGAATTAATGTCCCATAATATCTGGGAGAAGAGGAGAGAGATGTGTGAGACTCAAGAGTGTAGACCCAGCAAAGTAATTCAAAAATCCCAGTGGCATTAAACATTAAGATGGAGGCCCAGATCCCAAGTAGGAAAGGGCTCGTGATACCAGCATTATCTGTAACAAAGCAAGTGAGAATTACATTGAAAATACAAATGCAGCAGAATCTGAAACATGTCTACAGCAAGCAAGGATCAACTAAATCATGATATGATGCCCATCATTACTAAAATAAGAAGTGTGACAATTCAAAGGTAATTTTTGGTTTACTGCACTTCCTTTTCTTCCTCTTTAATTAATTTTTTGTCTTAAACAATATTTCACTTAACCCTGGGTTGGTGGTCATTTAGTGCTAGTTCAGCTGGGAAGTTCTCCTTCTGGTCTTGCCTGGTTTGCTTAGATGGCCACAGTCCTCTGGCAACCCAACCTTTTGAATGTGGTTTTTTTGGTTTGTTTGTTGTTGTTTTTTTTTATTTTTTTAGTTGTTGATGGACCTTTATTTTGTTCGTTTATTTACATGCAGCGCAGTGCCTCACATGCTAGGCAAGTGTTCTACCAGTGAGCCACAAACCCAGTCCTATCTTTGAGTATATTTAGTGAATGTAAACATGTTTCCATAAAAAATGTTAAAGATATATGGCCAACCTCTATCACCTTGCCATATTTTTCCACTAGTTCTTGGATTAGTCAACCACAAATTCACCTCAGTGAGGCTTCAAGAACCTCACCTCTCCTAGTCCCACTGGGGAACAATGACTTTGGTAAAATGCAGAGATTAAGGTACACAAAAGAGAGGGCTGGAAGGAAGGGCTAGATAGGAGAAGGGAGTCATCATGAATGCCAAGTTAAGGAGTTGGGACCTTAATTGAGCAGCATAAGAAGTCAACATGCCTGGAACCTAGTCCCTATTCTCTAAGAAATAATTACCATTCTGAAAAGAGAAAGTTAAAATTAGACTCTAAAGAGAAGATATGACCCCTACCACAAACACTAGAGCAATGGGCTGGAAAATAAATGCATGGAAAGTCCTCAATGACCTCCCCGCTTGACATGGCAGTTGCCTGCTGCTGCTACTGGCTCCCTAACTGCAGCAAAGACACCAAAAGCTTTCCCTGCTTTCTGGCCTCCTGAATAGTAAGCTCCAGGGGCTCACTGGAGTCTGGGGTTCACTGGAGCTTCCGTTTTCACTGAGCAGAGTAGAGAACAGGGATACCAGCTGGCCAGCAGAACAAGCCTAAGGGCAGTTCTACTGTCTACTCATCCAGACTCAGCTCTGTCTATCCATCCAAGCAGCAAAGGCACCTGCTGCTCCAACCCCAGCCCTACCATGGCCTCTCTCTGGGCCTCTCAGATTCCTTAGCCATAAAACAAGGGAGAGAAAATAAACTATAGAATTCAAAGGGTGGTCTCAAACCAGTGCCATCCACCAACTCTGTGTTGCTGATTCATGACAAGGACAGAAATTAAGCTTTAACAACAATGTTATGGCTACCCAGTTACATACATAATCCATGGAACTGTCTTGAACTTGGCACAGACTGGTATGCAAGTTTCCTGTGGCTATCAAAACAAACTCCAACTGAGTGATTTCAAACAGCAGAATTTACTCTCACAGTTCTGGGGACCAGAAATCTAAAATCCAGAGACAGGTAATACCATGTTCTTGGAGGCTCTGAGGAGAATCCCTTCCCTGCCCTTGCCAACTTCTGGGGCTGCTGACAGTCAATGGCTTGTGGCTGCAAAATTCTCATCTTTGCCTCATCTTCACATTGCCTTCTGTGTCAAGTGACCCCTGCATTGCCTCCTATGAACGCATGTGATGGCACTTAGGATTGATCTCATTCAAGATCCTTACTTAATAACTGTTGAGGGCCACAGCTGAGAATGACGCCTGGCATTTTGCCAGAGGGAATGGTTGAAAGGTGATGCCAGCGAGCCACTGATGATGATGATGGTTAGTTAAGCTGTGTATTCAGTTGTATATTAGACCTTTGCTGACGGCAATAGGGCGGCTCTTGCTGCCTCGGGCTCCCGCATCTTTGGAGTTCCCATTGAGTTCTCAGTTCTTGCGGGGTTCCAAGAGAGTTGGGGCAGAGCCTGGTGGAGAGCTGGGAAAGTTCCCGGGGAGTGTGTGTGGAGTGCTGGTGGAGTTCCGGCAATAAAGCTTCCTGTTTGAACATACAAGGCTTTGTGGCGACTCAGTGATTTGTGCCCAGCCAGATTGCGGCAAATAACACCTACAAAAACTTTTTTTCCAGTTATAGTAACATTTATAGATTCCAGGAAACAGGACACGAATATATCTTTTAAGCCCAGAACTGATCTAGGTATTCCTGAATTCATGTATGAAAAGCTTTCCTTTGTATATACTGTACATTCATATCAATTAACTACTGGAGAAAATGAAATCACCATGCTGATTTCCAAATAGCTTGAACAGCAGTGGGTCTCTGATGTGGGTCCCTGTGAGCAGACATGCTGTAGAACCATACTGTGGATCCCTGGTCTTCCTCTATCACCCAGAGTCCAGGGATAGGCAGAACAGACTGCAATGGACTCCCCAGGGAAAGAAAGCAGGCTACCAGGGGGCAGGTCTGGTCTCCCAGATAACTGGCAGGTAATGAAGGGGCTGCCCTCTCCCACTCCAGACTTCTATGCCTCATATGCCTTTAGTTATAAAGTGATTAAATCAAACTGTTTTTGGGTCAAGTGTGCCTCCCTCATCTCATCAAACACTTAGAATTTTAAATATGTAAAGTCTGAAAACAGAAACAAAACTATGTATTGAAATCCTCATGTATCTAGCATTGCTCTGCTACTAAAACATCCTCTCCCCCAACACCCCACTGCCTAGCCTCAAAAACACTCAGGAAGTTTCCAGCTTCAGAACAGAATGGAGAAGGCATTTGAAAACTTGACAAAGGAAGGATTTCATTTCTCATTACAAGTTTTCCAGCCTTTCAGAATCCTCCTTGCTAAAGAAGCCACTGTGTTTCAAGTCCCTTTGCCATGTTACACTTCAGCCTTACAGGGCAGACTATGTCAAGTACCTGGGAATGTTTAAATGATAATATTCAATAATAGCCATGACCACAGTGAAACCAGCCCTCTCTTCACTAACTGCTGATAGGAGTGAAATAGGCACAGTGCTGCACATTCTTATTAAGTAGCTTCAAATTGTATACACCCTTGGACACTGTGATTCCATTTCCAGAATTCTACACTAGGGAATAAATCTGAAATGGAACAAAACAGAATGATCAAAGATATCCATAGCAGCCTCATATATGACATAAAAAGCTGAAAACAGATTTTGTCAAAAAGAGAAAATGATTAAATTAATCCTTATACCAATTCAGGGAAGTAGGTGTTTTTACTTCCACTTCACAGATCTGAAAAACTGGAAGCACCAAGAGTTGTGATGCTTGTTCAAGGTCATCCTACTCCTAAGAGATGCACTGGAATTTTTTTTTTTTTTTTTTTTTTTTTTTTGAGGTAGGGTGGGTACCAAGGAACTACTGAGCTATATTCCCAGCCCTTTATTGTTTTTATTTTGAGACAGGGTCTCACTAAGTTGCTTAGGGCCTTGCTAAGTTGCTGAGGCTGGCTTTGAACTTGCAATCCTCTCGTCTCAGCCTACCAAACTGCTGGTATTATAGGTGTGTGCCACCACACACAACTGGCACTAGAATTTGAGCCCACACAGCCAACTCCAGAGTGTGTGCTCTTATACTTTGAATAATGATCCCAGAGCCATCAGGTCCTAACCCTGAAACCTGTAAAAATTACTTTATATGGAAAAATGTACTTTGAAGACATGATTAAGTCAGTTACATTGAAACAGAGATACCCTTCATTTTCTGGTTGGGTTCTAAATGCAAGGGTCCTCATAAGAAAGGTAAGTTTTGTATTTTTTTAACCCCATCCTCCCTTCACTCATGTGCACAAAAGTGGCTATGAAGACAGAAGAGGAGACTGGAGTGCTGGGTGACATGCCAAGGAATGCCAGCAACTATCCAAAGCTGGCAGGGAAAAGAATGGATTCTCTCCTAGAGCCTCTGAAGCGAGCACAGAGTGCCTGCACCTTGATTTGGGACGTCTGACTTCTAGGATTGTGAGGGAATAAATATCTGTTGTTTTAAGGCACTCAGTTTATAAAAATTTGTTGCAGCCGCTACAGGCAATTCATACAAGCTCCTGTGCTACACTGCTCTCAATGCAGGAGAAAATATTCGTAAGTTAAATGGAAAAAGTAGAAATCAGAATTTATACACAATGACCTTAATTATGCTGTAAAAATATATGCAAATACAACAAAATGTTTGTAGTGATTATCTTTGAATAGTCAAATTATGGATAATTTTCAGCATTATGTCTTTTGATATTTTTCCAAATTTCTATAATTAGTATGAATTATTTTACAAAGAAAAAAGTTATCTTTTTTTAAAATTAGCAATTCAAGACATTTCTGGAACTCTAACTCAATCACAAAGATTAGAAATCAAGAGATCCAAAACTCCCTAATAATTGTTTTAATTCAATCTCAAGCAACACCTGAAATAATCAGCAACCCAGATGCATGTTTTTTCTCTAAGTGACTCCACTCACCCCTTCCCTCAAAAGCCTATTAGTTTTCAGACTCTGGCAGCACATAATGAGGCTGAAGGAGTTTCAGGCTTTAAAGCAAGAAGATAACTTGAGATGGTAAATGTCTTCCTGCCTACCTGACTGTATGTGGTAGCGGAGAGAGGAGATTCTTATGTATTCCCAGAGTTCATCCAGCCCACAGTCTGTGGCTACACACAAAGAACCAAAAGCACCAGTGAATAAACATGTAAATGTTCGATTTCTCTGTAGGTGACTTCATGGAATGAAACATCAAATTACACATGACCCTAACTTTACAAAATTCCTGACTCCGGGGCTATTCTATTGCAAAACTCTTCTGCTATCATCTGTCCAGGCAGTCATAAATCCAAAGGCCAATTTCACTATGTTAACAACACGTCCTTTGATTAAATCTGTTCATGTATATAGTGTTAACATTTTCCCCCAAATGTGGGTAATACTAGACCAAAATAGAAAACAGCACATGTGTGGTATTTCTTTATATGAAGGTCACTGGTTCCTTCTAAGATGGGGCCAGGTCAGAACAAAGGAGCATGAAACACACACTGTGTGGTTTCAGTCCACCCAGTACAACACAGGGAGTTAGGGGTGATAAGACTACAGTACAGGGTATGTCCTGCGGCCCCAGGTTTCCTAAACACATTTATGCATTCTTCACTTTGCTAATCAACATATACAGCACCTACTATATGTCACGCACTATATGGAGGTTGTCTCACATTTTAAAACATATCTCCAATGCTACTCAAGGATGGAGGAGTTGGGCAACAGGTGACCCTCTCACTGATCTTCAGTCATGTGAACCACAAGGATACCAGCATTAGTGTTGAAAGGAAGACTCAAGTCAATCAAAAACCAAATTATGTAGCACTGTGTTCTTCCTACAAACCATTCTCAGAACACTGGTAATTTCAGTGATTAGTTAACGAATATTGGAATCTCCCACTTAAGCACCCACTTCATACAAAGAGTGTTAGCACTTTCCTATGTTTTTCCACTTACCATTGTATTTCCACACTTAGCAGTGTCTACCTTAAGAGGTATTCATCAAATAGCTGAAATATAAATTTAATGCAAGAATGAATGTGGATAGTTAACTTCCTCATCTGTTAAAATGGAAAAGCCAGGAAGGAGGCAGATTACTTCCCAAGAAAATGCTAAAGAGTCTAATACTCTGAGTGATGCTATGAAAAGAGGGTTCACAAATGATTCAGCTTGAGAAATGCTTTGTTTTGTTGCCTCCTACTCCTCTTAAGGATTTACAATGTACATTATACAATAAAGAATCTGGAAACTCCTTCAATTAGGAACCTATTTGAGCATTCCCAAATCCTTTTGTGCTTTCACTTGCTGATATCACAGAAAACCAGTTCTAAGGAAACGATGGGAATACTAACCCAACCTCTTCGTCTGTTTCAAAAGTATTTAAGTCTTTATTAAGCCCATATAATGATGAAAATGATGATAATAAAGATGACTAACATGGAACAAGTGATTACCCGTAACAGTCATAGTACTCAGTGCTCCTCCCCCCAAGATAAATATGAAACTTGGCTCAGTCTATTAGAAGAGACCATTGAAGACAGGATTATAACCAATATTAGCTGATACATACACAAATACACAGATGCATACATGTATATAAACACATAATTATGTATATATGCATATGTGTACACACAGGGACAGAGGTGGTAGTGAAGATGTGTGTTCAATTGGCATGGAGCCTAGGCAGAAGAAGCAAGAACACTGGGTATACATATGACTGGGTCTTACCCAGTGGTTTTCAAAGTATGGTCCACAACCCTTTCTGGGAATCCTGCAAGGTCAAACTATCTTCAAGTGTGTTGACATTTGAACTAAAGGTACAAAAACAATGGTGGGTAAAATTGCTGGCATCTTAGCATAAATCAAAATAGTGGCATCTGACCATATTAGTACTTGTATTTTCCACTATTACACACTTGAAGTTCATTTTTTATTTGTTTTTAATGTCAATTTCAGTTAAGAATGTCTTCTATGGAGCAGCAAAAATTATTAGTTTTGTTAAAAAAAAAAAATCTTAATTTTATTAAATAACTACTCTCTAGTTCATGTTCTCGTGGTATCCCACATGACAAATAGCAAGCATTCATCAAGCTTTTCAGCTGCAGGTTGCCGGGAAGAAAGAGTACTGCTGTGACTCAGCTGCAGGATGCAGGAGCCACCGTTTCTCAAGGAACACCATCCTTACATGAAAGATGATTAACAGAAAAAGGATGGTTATTCAGATTTGAGTATTTATAGGCAATCTCAACAAATGAATAAAGCAAGCCTACTACTTCTAGGAAAACTGATGACATCTGTTGTTAAAGGTAAAATGTGAATTTTCAAAGAGAGTAAAATGTAGAAAACTTTGTATTATGAGTTTCAGAGCATCCTAATACTTAAAAGTGTTTAGGTAAGAATGGTAGTAAAATAAGCAAATGTGATATTCTATTTCTATATTAATATTAAATGTGATATTTTAATATTTTCCAAATGACTAACATATACTATGACAAAATAAGGCATAAAAGATGCTTCAAAGTGCAATATGGACCAGTGGACTTCAATTTACAAGAGAAAGAATCTATGCGTATGGTTTCAGATTTCACACTGTGACAAAACTTTGAGAAACTGCTACTGTTAAGTTCTGATGTAGTTTCAAAGACTGCCCTCAATTAACTGAAAAGATTATTTAAAAAAAAAAAATCTTCCCTTTTTCAACTACCTATCTGGGTAAGGCTGGATTTTTTTGCACATACGTCAACCAACACTGCATACTGCAGCAGAATAAAAACAAAGTCATTTATGAGACCCCAGCTGTCTTCCATTAAGGCAGACAGTAAAGAGATCTTAAAAAAAAAAAAAGAACAGTCTCACTCTTCTTACTAAATGTAGTTTGAAAATAGTTACTTTTCATTAAAAAATGTTATTCACATTATCATGTTAATGGGTTTATTATTCTTATAGTTAAACTAATTTAATAAAAATTTAAAATATTTTCAAATTTACTTTCTAATGTAGTATTATGTGAATATATAATTCACATAAATGAAAGCTCTTTGGTCTGATTTTTAAGACTTAAGTATAGGAGTCGTAAAACCCAGTGTCAAGAACCACTGGTGTAGTATGCTGGGAGGCAGGGAGTAATGGAGGTGAGGTAAGAAGCAGGAGGGAAAGGGACCCCAATGGTCTTTGACATCATGATAGGGTGTTCCGATATGATCTATAAAAGCCAAAACGGTGCAGACTACCAAAATGCTATGCATGGATTTTCTTTTCAAAAAAGTGAGGATTCTATAAAAGTGCCTTCTGCTTTGTGAACATAATTCTAAAAACAAGTAAGTACGATGAGAAGTCAAATCGTAGGGCACTAAAGGTCCATTTTTACAACCTTAGAAATGAAATACAAATTTCTATAAAAGAGCACAAAATATTAAAATTTAATGATGGAAAAAGAAGAAAAGCAGGGTGTTGCACACTGACTTGCAACCAAATAAAATTCTGCAAAATGAGGGAAACCATCAGTAACAAAGTGCAGGGCTTTAAAAACATAAAGATGACAAAATCAAGATGCATTTCAGGCAAGTCTGGAAAATAAAAATATAGGAGCGAGCAAAGAGCAATAAACAACAGCAGTAAAGAGTGAAGATGAATGCAGCCAGAGAAGACAAACAGAAGCATTTAGAAATAAACAGTAGCTAGGAGAGGAAATCAGCAATGTCCTGGATTCTAGCCACATGTATTCCCACCACTGGAGGTGGGAAGACCAAGCAAGAAACCCCTCCAGAGCGAAGCAGACCTCCTGAGCCAGTATCTCACCAGGAAAAGTCTGATTACACCAATCAAGAACATGGATCACACAGAGGAGACAAGAGACAATTATTAAAACTGGCTCTCAATGAGCTTACAGTCATTATTTTTTAAATCAAAAAAGCCATTAATAGGATAGTTGTTACTAAATTGAGAAAGGTGTCCTATAGGGAATTCTAAACAGAAACCCTTGGCAATTTTCTCAAACTCATAGGGCCTGAGTTTCCTCGTCTGCAAATGGTGGGGGCTGGAGTCCCCCACCTACTTCACAGGTTGGTGGAGCAGAGCCACTGCATCCTGGACACTGAGCACAAGCCTGGCATGGGGCAGATGCTCAATAAACAGAGGATGTTACTAATATCACTATAAATTACCACTTCAGGGTCAAAGCAGAGTTCTAAGAGCAAAGAACCTAGGCCAGAAAGCTCCCCAAAGTCAAATATCAAGGTTTTAAACGTCACCAATACTTGAACTTTAAATTGGAAAAGGAATTTGAATGGCTTTGTCCTGGGACTACACATGCTTAGCTGGTAAAAAACTGCCATGGATCCAACAAGGCCTGGGCCAGTCTTCTTGGCCTCTCTGGTTTACAAGCAGCATGTATCACATGGGCACACTGTCAAACACAGGGAGACCCAACGAAGGTCAAAAAAACAACCAGCTTCCTGAACTGCCAACATTGCTACGCCAGGTGCCTCTCACACATAATCTGCCCTGTCACCATTAGCCAGGACAGAAGCCTACACAGTTACCAGGAAGCTGTCTGACTGAATTGCTCTCTTGATCTGAGGCCCCAGGACTAGACCACATTGCCCACCCCACAGTGATCCAGGGTGTGCTCAACAGATGTAGGTCAGCAGTTCTACATTCAGGTGGAGGATTGGGAATCCAATAGATTAAAAGAAAAAAAAATCCAATAGAAAAAAAAAAAAATCAAAAGATTATGATCCATTTAAAGAAATAAAGGTAGCCATTGAGAGAAAGATGAGTCAGGAAGAAAAAGAGAGTAAGGAATATTTTGACAAGGATAATCAATTTGGCCAAAAATAAGTGTTTTTTTTTTTTTCTTTTTTCATTTCCCATAGCTAATGGAACACCTAGTAAATACTGATACTCCAGATGCTGCCCTTGAGGCTAGGGATGGGAGGTGAACTGTGCTCTCCTGCCCTTTCTGTCCTCAGACATTAACTGGAAACCATCTCTTGTGGCTACCAAGAATGCAGTACTGGGTACTCTGGAAGCTTATGTCTGAGAGGCCATAGGAGCATAGGCAAAAGTCCTGAGGTCTTTCAAAGTCTGGCAGATTTGAGGAGCTAAAAGGCCAGGGTGCAAAAAGGCAGTCAACAGAATTGTTGAGAGGCAGGCAGGGACCAGACTGCACAGGGCCTTGGAAACCCCAATTTCATACTTTCATACTTCTAAGAGCACAGAGTCTTTGAAGATCTCATTGGAAGAAGGCACCATTTGATTTGCATGTTAAAAGTTTACTGTGGCTACAGTGTAGAGTCATGGAGGGCATAAAATGCATACACAAAGGTCTATCAAATAGAAACTTTTTTTTTTTTTTTTTTTTTTTAGCCACAACCTGTGAGTAAGAAGCTTTACTTTGCAACGCTGGGTATGTACACACAAGTACTTGCCACAAGTACTTGCAGACAGTCTATGGCAGGCAGGCAGGCAGCAGCCTGGCAGGGAACACTGGAATTTTCTGCATCCTGGAGCCAGCTTTTCAACCTCCCTGAGTGAGTCTCAGTTACCTCATCTGTAAAATAGTGATAATAATGGAACTTACTGTATACACTGTTGTGGGAGATAAATAAGTCAATATACCAAAAACCCTTTTTAAAAAAAACTATATTATACACAAGTCACAAAACTAAACCTTATGCCATACTCTCATGTTTTTCAATCTGTTTCTTTTTCTGTATTTTTAAAATGCTGGAAAAGAGCCTCTAATTAATTTCAGAATCCAGTAATGAGGATCTCTCCCTACAGCTGGGTGATGGCAAAGGAGGAGGCAGAAGGCAGACACCGCCATCACCCATGTCCATGCTGACAGGACTCCTGAACACCTGGATATGAGGGTAAGGGAGAGAAAGCAGAAAAGGCTCTCAGGCCTCTGGGTTGATGACAATGACATTTCTGAGATGGGGATCCTGGGAGGAGGGACAGGTTTTAGTTTATAGGAGGAAAGGAAGATTAGACTTTCTCTTTCAAACTAGAGTTTCTGCCTGGAGTAGGATTTAGTGTAGGTAACAAAAGGAACCTTCAGCATTCTCCCAAGCAGGCTACTATGCAGAGATTTCACATCACAACTCTAGTTACTGACAACAAAATGCTTATGTCCAGACTGCTCTATCAGGCGAGAACCTCATGAACCAAACACAGTGGCAAGTAGCTCAAGAGAACTCAGGGACTTGGGGCTCCCACCGAATGTCTTTCCTTATCTGACCAACATAAAGCACTAATCATACTTTAATTAGAGTCTGTCTGCCCATCTGTTCCTTTACTCACCAAGCAGCTTCAGGGCGGGGACCACTGTCTCACTGATCTTTCCATTCCCCAGACTTCCCCAGCATAATGTCCAGTACATTGCCTATAGTAGGTGCTCAATAAACGTCTGCTGGCTGAATGGCTGAGAATCAACAAGATAAAACTCTCCAGAAGGCCATTACCAGTGCAGAAAAATTAAAATAAGGCAAAAATAAGTAGAATCTGTTAGGAGAATTCTGATCACTTAAAGCTGTGGGTCAACAAAAAGCCAATGGTGCATGGGGAAAATGAGTCAACAAAGAAAATACACTCTGGGATCTATAATGAGAATAGATTTTCGTCATAATAATCAGAAACACTAAGAAGACTTGGTATGGAATCAAGACGATAAAGACAAAACCAAAGAAAAATATTAGGCCATACATACACACACATAAATAAAATGTGGTGCCTTCCACAGAACACACTCATGTTTGCTTCTTCACATTGCTTCCCTTGCTACATTTTCCATCAGCTCCAGACCTCCAGGAAGCCTCCCAGCTCCCAATCCTCGGCTACCTCCAATGCCCAACTGCAGCATGCTCTGTATGTATGTGATTTATTTCTCTGGTAGACAGGAATGGTGTTACGTACATTGTTATTTGCTCCACCCTCACCCCTTGCACTGAGGAGGCACTCATCAGTAGCTGATTCATTTGTTTTTATATTAATTCACTTTGGCATTAAATGCTAAACTTGGATTCATAATTTCTAGACTTACACCCTTTAGCTGCAACTATTTCTGAAACTACCATTTTTTATAGTAACAGTGCATTGGTTCAGCACCTATCCCCTACCAGACATAGCTAAGGACTTCAAGTACATCATCTCCTGTAATCTCCAGTCATTCCCACTTTATAGGCGACAGGACAAGACTTAGAGACAGCACAGTTTAGTAGGTGGCAACTTCGGCCTTCAAATCCAAAGTTACTGAACTCCAAAGCCAGATAAATGCGCAATTATTGTAAAATTTTAGCACCATTAT